CAAATTGATGATGTGAAGTTCATGGTGAACAAACTTTGGTCAGACATTCATGTATGCATGGGGATAGCTGAGTCGAATATGGACAATCTTGTTGAGTTTTCTAAACTCATTGAGGAGCACAAACAGAAACTATTGAGCGATCAAGAGGGTGGTTCATCAAAAAAGGACCAGGAAAAAATGTTCGACTCGTTTGTCGGGCTGTCTGCCCCAAAAGAAGTAGACGTTCATCCTCCGGCACAGTCTAAAAACAAAGGTAGTGGAAAGAGGATGAAGAGCAACAAGGAGAATTCGATTGCGGCATCACAGAAAAAGAGAAGAATATGCAAGACGTGTGGCGAGAGAGCCGGACACAATGCGCGTACTTGCCCTAAAAAAGGAGATATGTGTATCAGCACCGTTCACGACTAATGCAGGTAAACATCATTTGATCAACGTTCATACGAGTATGTGATTTCTGAAGATGCATGCACAAATGAAATATTTATTTATATATCGAACTCATTTATTCCATGTAAACTTGTGCATTGCAGTGGAGTGATAAAATGTGATGATCATGCCCTCCTAGGTACAGTTGGTATGTCGTGCACATTGTATGCACATGCACGTGATTCAATACTACTTAAAATTTACAAGTATATATACTGATTTGAACAAATTTGAATATGCAGGAACAAAATAGCTATACGTGAATCTTGACACTGCGCATGGAATCGTATCGGGATGGTTTGACTGAATATACTATTGGAAGATTTCAACCACGTCATCTATTTTTATTGTTGAACTAGATTCACAATTTTTTTTTTATTTTATTTTTTTTTTATTTTTTATTTTTTTACGTCCGTCATATTGTTTCATTACCTATTGCTACTATTACCTATTGCTACTGAAAACATTTCGTTATCCTGGGTTCAAACTATTGGTTTTGTTTTGAAAACATTTCGTTATCCTGGGTTCAAACTATTGGTTTTGTTTTACTCGATAAGTTACTCGTGTGTTTAGTTAGTTATCTAGTGCACGTATTAAAAAAAATAAATAAAGAAACATAGAAAAAAAGTACATTGTTATTGTACATCACGAGTAATAGTATGTCAGATATGGACAATTTACACAAAGAATATGCACATTATGGCAATAATGATGCACATATTTCAAGCAATCAGACCAAAAAAAAAGAGTGTACATAAATACGCTTATAAAGAATTATCAACGAACCTTCAACCTACGGAGCCTGTATGATATTGTTATTCATATAAAATAAATATTTTAACGCTTCATTTGTTCGTGTATTCACAAACATTGCACGACAACATATATATAGCCGCACTGTTATTCTTGAAAATGTGCACATTACACTAATACGTATCAAATAATTTTGTACAAGCCTATGATGCAAATTGCTGGATAATTAAATAACATGAATGCGTTAATAACAAAAAAAAAAGGTGCATAAATAACTATATGCACAAAACATACATGAACAGTGCACAATATATTGTGTTGATGTGCACAAAACATCAGTGATAAGTGCACATGATAATGTGCTGTTATGCACGATTCACAATGTTCGATTGCACTATTTTATCGTCCAACCTACTCACAAGCCAACACGAGAAAAACAGAAAATAACCATTCACGATATCACATGTCCAAAAATATCAGTCGCCATACATAGTTACGTTCTAATGAACCAACCTAAAAAGCTTACACATAATCCATTGCAAAATATTGGTGCACGTCCTGTTAAGAAGATGTCACAAAACAAATTTACGCATCTACACACGTCCTGTTACGAATATGCCACAAAACAGATTTAAGTATCTACACGGATCCACACTACAACGACCAAATGCACAACCACACCCCATCATTAGTTTGATGCCTTTGTTGAAAGATACACCGGATGGTATATCTTTGATGTCGTGAGGTTAATGCCAGCCAGCTCGTTGTTCTCGGCACATGCAATGAAATAACAATAACGCTTCCTAAAAAGCTTCATCTGGCCCTTGTCTGCCTTCTTCAGCTGCGTGTTCAACGGTTTTGCAGGGTCACCTTTAAATGTCTCCATGTGGCGCATCGTCATCACCCCAACGTCTACCTCCTCGACACCTTCGGTCCATGGTGTGTCAATAACGTCAGGAATGGATAATGCGATCGCTTTGGAATTTTTCACCAACCTTCTATCGCCTATAAACTTCGAGACCGAACGTTGCTGCAAATATTTAATATAATGATTAACACGAAATCGTGTTTGGACACTTGCAATTATGTAATGCAGATGTGTTTGTTTTAACATTACCAACAGCTTAACAAGAGGCATAACGGGCTTCGTAACATCACCGCCTTTACAGTTTCCGTCGCTATATATAACAAACAGCTTTTGGGATTCGATAGATGCGCACATTACACCCGAAAATGTACCCGAGTGTACCGGAAATAAAATCTACAACGCACGATAAACAACCAATCAAACTAATGCCTGTGAGTATAACGAAATATCACAACAAACTCATATACCAAAAACAAAGTGCACGATGTGAGGAAGTTAATTTGATAAACAATCGTTTACCACTGCTATCTGCTTCAAATTGTAACGGCATCTGCGGGTGATTTCCGATTCCAGCGTTTCAGCAAACTTGTTGTAGCCTAGTCCTCTCTTCCCTTTCGACTCAAAGAACAGCTTTATGCCACGACAATGTAAAATGCACATAATAATAATAATAATAATAATAATAATAATAATAATAATAATAATAATAATAATAATAATAATAATAATAATAATAATAATAATAACGCATCATACCTCGTTACATGGAGATGTGGATGCAAAAAAGCACGCTGGAGAACTATGACTTTTGAAGTTCTCGTTGAAATTTAGAATGAGTGACCACAAGTCTAGCAAATCATTACTGATAGGTGTATCTGGAATCAGACATGCCACAACAGGCCATCTCACCGAGCAACTTCCCGACCTAAATATAATCACACTACTGTGCGTTCCATGCACCAGTGCGTACGAATAAAATTTACTCAGTATAACACAAAAAAAAAACAAGGAAAAATATTTTAAATATGATATTGATTAATATTCATACTCATCAAGCGCGTCATTCTTCAATATCCAGTTAGAAACCATCTTCTCTTGCACATCCAGTTTCTTCGTCATGTCAATCACCCTCTCTTTGAAAGGGGATTTAATCACACTAGCTGCCTTGATTTTCTTCTTCGGCCTTTGGGGCCTGTGAACGTCATCGCCTCGAGCCAGAATATCATCAACTTCTAACCACACAAACGGGTAATAACATTTAATAATATACAAATTAATCTGGATACATTAAAAAAAGGCAAAAAAAAAAAAAAAAAACATGTACCCGTAGACACGCCACCTTTAGTATGCAATTCATTATCTTCCCCATTGGTCGGCGGCTGATTAGGCAATCCACCACCGTCTTCATGCACATTATCAGGAAATATAACACCAAAAAGTTTCATATTCAGGTAAACTCTACGTAGACCAACATCAGAAATTCATGAAACAAATGATGTAAATTTCACAAATACCTAGTTGTGCGACTACTTCGGGCGACTTCTCGGCTGTCTAAGGATTTTTATCGGTGGTCGGGGTGACTACATCGGGCGACTTCTCGGCTGTCTGAGGATTTTTGTCGGGAGTCG